ACTCTGTCTCCAAAAAAAAAATCTTAGGGTAAGAAAATCTGTTTATGAAGCAAAGCTGGATTGATGTTCCTGGGAGCCCCAGACTGACTGTTAAGGTTTTCCACTGACATCTGCTTGTCTTGATCCCTAGAGACTCATTAACTCTTTCTTATGGTAGTCTTTGGCATTCTTGACTCAGTAAAAATATTTTTTTCTTTTTTAATCTTTAATAATAAGTATTATACATGTATGTTATAAAATGGCTAACCCCTAATACTTATAATATGCCAGGAACTATTCCAGGCACTTTATGAATATTAATTCATTTGTTCCTCAGAATAGCTCTGTGAAGTAGGTAACACGATTATCCTCATTTGACAGATGAACAACCAAGGCACATAGAGGACAAGTAATGGTCTCAAGGCCACACGGCTGAGCCAGTAAGTGGTAGGGCTGGACATGAACCCAGGCAGCTTGGCACAAGTCCCTGCTCTTAGCCACACTTTATTGCCTTTCTAACCAAGAGCAGGCAGAAGGAGCACTTCTGGAGAATCTTGGTATGCGCCCCCTTTCCAGTTTCAGTGATGCTTTTGCACTATCACAATAGAGTTGGAGAAATTTCAAGACGTAGGCTTTCATGTGGTTATCACATCTGAGCATGAACGGCCCATTTCCTTTGCCTGCAAAGATCATTTTTACAAAGGACTCTTGCATCCATACGGAAACATTTACAGATAAAATGATAGACTGGTCTTGGATTCGCTTCAAAATAAAGTGAAGGGAAATGGATGATGGTATAGATTAAACCAGACTGGCCGTGATAATATTTGAAGCTGAGAGAAAAGTATATGGAGGTTCATTATATTGTGCTCTTTACTCTTGTGTTTGTTTGGAATTTTCCGTAATACGAAGTTAAAAAGTAAAAGATTCTCACAGAGTGAGCATGAGACTAAGAGAGGAATTGCACTCAAAAAAAGGAAAAAGAATTTTATGGTTCAGATTTGTCTAGTTTTTCATGGAAAAAGAAGTATGACAATGCACCTTTTAAATGGAGACTTAGAAAAGAGGTCTTAAAGACTGGAACTTCTTTCTTACTCTAAACCAAATTAAATCCAGTCCAACCCCAGAGAAGAATATTGATGATAACATACAGTCTGTTATTCTACATCTTTCTTTACTGGGAATAAGTCAGAAACAGTTGATGAGTGTGGGCACTGTTGGTGTAGCCCAGAATTCATGCTTCTTCGTACGTAATATTTCCCAGTACATTTATCTGTGCTGATTGTGAAGTCTAATAAAGCAGACAACAGGGCAGCAGGTGCAGGAGTCTGAGCTCCCCGTGCTCCGGCTTAGCTCCGCATGGCAGAGTTTGGTGCAGGTCTCCCTAGCTGTGTTTACTGGGCCTTTGCCCTGGTAACCAGCAGCCTCAATCCTTGCTCTCATTCCTATACTTCACCCTTTTTAAAAGTAGAGTTCAGTGTTTACTTAATATCATTTTCATTAAAGAATTTAACATTTTTATTTAGGATTGTGATTCTTTCTACTAGTATTCTGTGACAGAGCTGTATGAGTTTGGAATGATCTGCCCTATCCCTCTTTAGGCCCACTTTGTCTTCAGTGTGTGATTTTGCAGAATGCAGGTATTTTTAAGCATTAAGAGAAACACTGGCACTTGTAACTAACCCAGTAGAAATTATAAGCGAGTATTTTCCAACTTGCGTTAAAATTTATTTTATACTGTAAAAGTGGCATCCTGCTACTCTTTCCACTTGTTACGTGTTCATTGTAATATGTAAGTGATTTGGGTGTATTTTTGTCTCTGATATTTAAATAGAAATTTGGCCCGAAATTATTTGCCTTGATCTGGATTGTTGCAATTAGGTCTCTACAATTGCAATTATATTTCAGTATGCAAAACAGCTTTTGAATTTCTTTATTAGAAACTCACTATTACATTAACTAACATTTCAAGAATATGCACGTGTGGTACACTGATTAAATGATAGTCTAATATCTTACACAACAAGGACATTAAGCCCAGTGTAGAAGCCTTGAAGTTGGCGCATCTTGATCATATCGTGGACTAACCTACTTCTTTAGCACCAAAGGAATCTTGTGTTTCAGACATGTGAGGTATAAAGAAAGTTTAAGATGGATTTTATTTCCTAAATTCAAGACTTTTTTTCCCCTGATAAAACAACTGCATCTCCCGTGTATTTGAGTTGACTGAACATCTGGCGGCAGCCCCCATTTCCAGCTCTGGCTGCTAAATCTGCTCTAGATACATACACTTTATGCACCTTCACTCCCCGAGCATGCTCTCTTTGTTCTTTCCTTTCCCCATGATCATCATCAAGGCTTTCCTGGTTATTCTTTTATCCCAGCCCAGGCTTAGTACTCCTTTCCCTAAACCACAGTCTGGCCTCACCTTGTACCGTTATGTTTTAAAAACGTCTTTTCTTTCCAAATGGATTGCAAGCTCTACAAGAGATAGAGCTAGTTTGTGCATGTGTTTCCCTTTTGTACTTTACATCTGCTTATAAAGTATATGCCCAACCTTGTTGTTGCCTGATGTAGCCAGACCCCTACGAGAGGCGGTAAATATCCTACAAGAGGCACATTTTATGTAGCAATTCAACCAGAAGTCGTTACCTGTCCTGTATTCATAGTAGAAAAATAATTGGCTAGAGTATTTTGTTATTATTTTTTTCAGTCCTTAGGCTTTTAGAGTAGTAATACCTGGATTAAAATAAGTCAGCTCACCAACAGAACTGTTAGCCTTTTGCAGTGAGAGTGGGGAGATGAATAAAACAGAAAGCTGGTAGTAGGGAACTGTCAGGTCGTTCTAGTGGCTTACCTCAGGTACTCAAAATATTTAAAGGCAAAGAAGAAAAGAAAGGTGGGTATTGGTTCAAGTCCTAAAATGACATTTCTAAATAAGGGAAAATAATAGTTAAAGCTAAGAGTTTGTTAAGAAGCAGTTCTTACTCTTAACTAAGAAAACATGTTGAAGAGGTTAAGAGCAGAATTGTTGGTTCTGTAACTTGCTTCCTATGTGATGCTAGGCAATTATTGGTTCTGTAACTTGCTTCCTATGTGATGCTAGGCAGTTAGCACCTTTCTAAGACTGGTTATCTTTACTGCATGGTGAAGATAACAGAGAAGGAAATATACATAGAGATGCTTAATCAGTGGCCCTGATCGTGATTTTTTACTATTATTTTTTAACAAAGTCTGTATATACCTAAGAATCGAAACCCCTCCAGAGAAACTTATGATAAGATCCCAGACCAAATGTTGTATTGTAACCAGAATATACATAAAATGTTATTACCACAAAATTCTATGTTGTCCTTGCTTTTTAAATGTTCACTTTGATTATTTCTATCCAGTAGATTCTTAACTATAAAATTAAGATTTTTTTTTCAGAGTGCCTGTCATTCAGTTACAAAAGAATTTGCACGTTATTTCAAGAAATGATTACATGTAGTGAAAAATAATATTCTTTAAAAGTTCGTCAGCTCCTTCTGCCGCTCTTTCTTGCAAGATGAAAAATTCTTTAGTTATTGTATAGTTCTGGTGCAAACAATTAAAACATTTTCCCTTTAAGCCTGACACATGGTGGGAGAGATTAGGATGAGAAGAAAGTTAAAGAAGATGATATTTTTTAAGCTTCCTACTGAAGGAATTTTCCTCTTTGCTTATTTTAAGGCTTAATGTACATCAGTAACATTTAGCTACTTACACCCTCTTCTTAAAATGCACACGTGTGTGCACCTGCCCTTGAAAGAGAACAATGATGACAGAACCCAGTAAGTAGCCCAGTTTCACATTTCTAAGAAATGGAGAAATTGCTTTTCTTGATAATATACAAAGCACTGAAGCCCTGAAGCCCTGAGAGCAAGCTCCCTCAACATTGTTCCTTCCTGTTTTTGTGCTGCTAAATTAAAACGCATGTTTTAATTGCTGCAGCTATAATTTGTTCAGAAATGGTATAATTATGAGGTGTGATGAAGAGAGAATGTGCATCACCCTTTTTATTATCTTCCTCCCTTTTTGTTTTAACCTTTTGTCTCAACCTTGGCTAGAGCCTAAAAGCACAGACTCAGGAAATACCCTTAACCACTGCTCACTTCTAGTGAACGGCAGCCGATGGTGTCCCGGCACTAAGGCCAGTCATAACCTGAAGTAAATATCGAGAGCAGTAAAGTTATGATGGCTTTAAAATTGGGGGATTTCTTTGTCTAACCAACTTATCTGGGAAGTTTTGTTCGTGTCAGTAGATTGAGGGGTAGTTTTTTTGTTCTCATAGCATTGTATTTTAAAAATTTTCAACCATAGAGAAAAGTTTAAAGAATTTGACAGTGAGCACTAGCAGACTGTCGTTAACTTCTACAGCATTATCACATAGGTAGATTTTAAGAGGACTTTTTCCTTTTAGAAGTCCTTAATCATAACTCAAAGAGATTAGTAATATTCTCTTCACCTAGACTCACTTATTATCCTCATCTTAGGCCACATGGTAGAAAAACAACATCTGAGTCTATTATGTTTGTGAATAATTAATTGAAAATAAAGAATACGGTTCTCTAAACCTAAGTAGCCTGACGTTTGAAGTCAGGACACTGTATCGCGTTTTTATTTGTTATGGTGGATTGAGTTTATCACTGTGCTTGTGCATATGTCCATTTTCCCTTAAAGATCTCCTTTCTGAGGTTCCACCAAGTGATTACTTATTTTCTCTTCTTCAGAAACGGCCATCATTCAAGCAAATCATTTCGATTCTGGAGTCTATGTCGAATGACACGAACCTTCCTGACCAGTGTAACTCATTCCTGCACAACAAGGCTGAGTGGAGGTGGGTAGCCCCGACTCGGCCTCTGGCTATGAGAGTCCCGGACTGGTCTCCGTGAAGAAGAAAACTAGATGCCTTGATGACAGTCCTGATTTCTAAGCACAGCTTAGGAAAAAACTTCTTTCATAAAGATTTTAGAGATAGAATATGTCCTTTGTTTCATAGCAAAAAAAAAAAAAAAAAGAATGTTTTTTAAGCCTTTTTAGATGTCTGAGTATTTGGAAAGAATATTGAAATCATATCATCTGAGACAAAAGATGGTTAAGACACTTCTCTATAGATATTCTTTGTTAGGAAGCTTTGGCCTCTAGTCAGTAAGAAATAAGAATGCTGTTTGCCTTAAAATTGGCAGAGTATGGGATCTGCTAGTGCAGTGGTTCTCAACCTTCCTAATGCCGCAGTGTATTTTCATTGTTAAAAAGGGGTCGCGACCCACAGGTTGAGAACCCGGAGACTATAAAAACACTTTTCGAAGAAAACTTTGGATATTAAAAAATCCTATTAAAATTCATTAAGTGTAAAACAAACTTAGTAATGAGAGAATTGAATTGTACAAGTGGAAAAGTAAGCCCAGGATGAAAGATTTTAGCCAGGTCACCTGCTGCATGAATATAAATAGCATGTTTGGGAGCTGACATGATTCCTGTCCTGACTCAGCAGAGATTGTAAATAACTTCATCTCTGCTTCCCGAGAGCCATGGCGGTAACATGACGCCTTACGCCATCTGCTGATGCCAAATGGATACTGCATGCACTTTGAAAATGAACTGAGTTGTTTACTTCTATTATTAGACATTTCTCTGGGTTTTCTGTTTGACTGGTATTTTATAATTAAATAATCGGGTTTATAATCAGGTTTTATAATCAATTTATAATCAGGTTTTAAAACCTGATTTATTTTCATTCCTTTGAAACATCTCTATCTAGGGCTAGTGAGTTAAATGAATTTTTATTTAAGGATACAAAAGTATTATACGCTCCAGTCTAGATATGAGAGACCTTTTTCTTAACAAAACATGTAAGGGGCAGCACCTGTGGCTCAAAGGAGTAGGGCGCTGACCCCATATGCCAGAGGTGGTGGGTTCAAGCCCAGCCCTGGCCAAAAACTGCAAAAAAAACCCCACAAAAAAACATGTAAGTAATATTTGTTTCTTATAGTGAATATTATAGTGCACATATAATCAGATAATCCCCCTTTAAAATCCATATGCAACTTGCCATTATTCTTAAGACAGACCAAAATACTTAAGAAGACTCGTATGAACTTCTGTACTCTGGCTTCACCAGCCTCATCTTAAGAACATCATTCTGCTCCTTAATTTCTGGCTTTCGATTCCTTGACAGATGCCTATTTCTCCCTTACTCAGGGTCTTTGCAAATGTGATTTCTTTTCTTTAAAACTTATCCCATTTCAGCTGCACACCACCCACACCCCACCTTAGCGGCTATTTGCCATTCAGATCGCATAGCAGCTGAACAATATTTTTAGGAAAGTGTTTCCGACTCTAGGCCAGATCAGATTCTACTTTGTGTGCGCTGAGACCATCTCCATCGTAGCCTTTACTGCTATTGAATTAATTCTGCAGTGAGTTATTTCATGTGCATATTATGGGCTAAAATGTAAGAGGGACAGTCACTTCTGTTCATCACTGTACACGCAACATCTAGAATGTGCCTTCAGCACAGCATTTGTTCAGTAACATTTAGGGAAAAAAGGAAGACTATACCATAGTGGTAATAATATAAAAGGGCATTATATTAAACAAGAGAATATAAATATGTAAGTTAATTTGTTTGCCGTGACAAAAGTGCTTTTTGTATTTATTTATCCATTGAACTTCTGCTAGTGTGAAAACCACCGGTGCTATTCTAGGCTTGGGCTGTAGCAGTGAGCACAACAGTTCCAGTGCTCTTGGAGCTCTCCAGGAATGTCCAATATTAAACCATTAAATATAAATATACAAAATTATCTCATTACCATTTTGACAAGTAATCAGCAGAAGTACTAGATGTATCCAGCATGTAACCATGAAATCTCATCTGTCCTGGGGATGTAATAAAAGGACTCTTAGAGGAAATGCTATTTGATCTAGTATCCAAAGGATTAGTCGGATTTCAGTCCTAATATCATACCTTTGCAATAGGGAGTTCTCGAAAGTATATCAACAAAATCAGAAAACAGGTAGAAAGTTGGTAAGTTTTCTATAGAAAAATTAAAAACCTCCATTTGACCAAATGACACACGGTCACCACTTTTACCCCTGTCTGATAGATCAACCACTCTGAAACTTTTGGTCTCAGGACCCCATTATATCCTTAAAAATTATCGAGGGCACCAAACAATTTTCATTAAAATGAGTTATATCTGTCAACATTTACCACATTCAAAATTAGAGCAGAGGAAAAAATTCAATATGTATTTGTTCGTTTAAATAACAATAATAAATCCTGCTTCTGCATTCAGCCCAGGGCACTGTCAACATGTCATGAAACCAGCTCGGCTCTTATAGCTCAACTGGCAAGGCGCCAGCCATGTACACCTAAGGTGGCGGGTTCGAATCCCCAGCCTGGACCCACCAAACAACAATGACGGCTACAACCAAAAAATAGCCGGGCGTTGTGGCGGGCGCCTGTGGTCCCAGCTACTTGGGAGGTGAAGGCAGGAGACTTGCTTGAGCCCAGGAGTTGGAGGTTGCTGTGAGCTGTAATGCCACGGCACTCTACCCAGGGGGACAGCTTGAGACTCTGTCTCAAAAAAAAAAAAAACATGTCATGAAACCCATGGGAGACTTTGTATGTTTGGAGAGAAGGACAGTAGAAAAGGCAACTTCTGTGTTAGTGCCGTTCTAAGGACCAGTTTAACCTCAAGAATCCCTTAAAAGTTGTCATGAGTCTCCAGGCTACATACCCAGTACTGCTATGATAGAGTTTGTCCTTAAAATAATATTTTAATTAAAATACCATACTAAAAGACATGAAAAGGCATAAAAGAAGGAAGTAAAAAGGCTACTAAATATATGAAAAATATTCAACCTCAATTAGTAATCAAATAAGTACAAGGGAAAATAATTAATTCATCAGATTAACAACAATCTACATTATAACAATATCCAGTGCTATATAGACTTTCTCATCGTTCCTGGTGGGAAAATGCTACCTTTCTGGATGACAGGATAGATCAAATGCTCTAAAAATGTTCATATTCTTTTTCCTAGAAATTCTACTGTTACCACTACTCTATGTTCCTGAGAAAACAAATGGGAAGGCCGTGCAAGAACATACAGACACTTGTTCAGCAAAGCATTACTTAGAAATGTAAAACTGGGAATGGCATGAAGTGCAGTCAAAGGGGAATTTTTTTAATTTTTTTCATTAAATCATAACTTTGTACATACATAGATGCATTTATGGGGTTCAGGGTACCGCTCCGGTATACAGTGTGAAATGCTTACATTGAACTAGGTAACATATCCATCACAATTATACTCATTTCTTAATAGTTTTGAAATGTACCATTGCATCATGCACATTAGGTGAGGTCCCTCCAGATACCCTCCCTCCTCCCATATCCCCCCTTCCACTCTCTCTCCTCTTCCGTTCTACTTTCTGGACTGTAGTTATGTTTTGCCATTCATATGAGTGTGTAAGGGGTTATATATTGATTTCATGGTAGTACTGAGTACATTGGATACTTTTTTTTCCATCTAGAGATAAGGGAAATAAATGGTTTTAAGCAGTGCTATCTCGACACACAGAATAATATGGAGCCATTTCTGATGACACAGATCTGATAAACTATTTAAAAATAGAGACTACAGTGTAGTTTGTTTAGAATGACTCATGTTTTATAAAATAAACATATACTTACGTGTACATATATGTATACGCAGAGAAAAGTATCGTAAAGTATTATCTCTGGGTAACAGGATTATGGATGTTTTCTATTTGTGTCTCTTTATTTTCTACTTTTTCTACATTAAACCTGGATTAGTTGAATGCTAAATTCATTTTTAAAAAGCTCAAAGATGAAAAATTAGAGGAATAAGATTGGTAATAAAAGACGGGAGAGAAGAGGTAAAATGCATTGATATATTTTAGTATAATACACATAGTTGCCTGGGGGGCTTCATTAGTGGCTCTTTCAGGAACTGTTAATCCTGCTCTGAGAGCTGGAGAGATAATATATATCTTTCTCTGAACCAGTGAATCACAGTTTGAGAAGCAGCAGAGCCGTTTTAACTGAACTTGGCAATTGGTTTAAAACATGGGGAATAATTATATTAATTATAATAATAATAAACAGTTGTCATTTATTAGGTTCTTACCAGATGCTTGTACTTCATTTGGATTATCTTTTTTAATCCCCATAGCAACCCTAAATTATATCACAGATGCAGAAACTGAGGCCTCGGCAGGTTGGGTAACTTGCCCAAGACCAGGCAGTCCTGAGACGCAGCCAGGCATGGAGCGCGGGTAGCCTGTGACAGGCTGCTCTTGCACACGCTAGACCTGTGGCCATTGTCATGCTGTCTACTCATTAGCATGCAGTGTTCACTTGACTAGATCTGAGCTGAGAGGAGTATTCCAAAGCACGATTATTTCAGGTTATCATTAAGGCAGAAAGACTGTCTAACCCAATATGCAAAGTGCTGAAAGAGAATTATGTGTTTTTATTAGATAATCTGGGTGTTTCAAAGGACAACACATCCAAGCCACTGCTTTTTTCCTCCCAACTTTTGTCTGGTGTCTGAAACCACGTGACTAGTATTTTAGTAAATTAGAATCACAGTGCAGTCTGACTCCAATACCGCTGTGATGTTGCTGGCAAATGATTGTTTTCTGGTAGAGCTCTCTCTACACACAGACCAGATGGAACTTGTATTTTTAGAAAATTGAATAATTATTCTGAAAATTCTTTTTAAAACTAGATTATTAAAAACCACACAAACTGTGCCCTTTCCTTTGACCTACTAAATGATAGGAAAGAATTCTCGTGCCAGACCCGCCCTTGTTCATCTGATCTCAGCTTGTTTCTCCCCCGGCTGACTTAGCCGCAATGATGACATTGACCATTAAGAACAGAAAATGTGTCATCCTGTTGGTCATGTTTCCAGTTGGCATCACCCCACCCGTGCGGCTGCCCGCAGACCTGTGGTCCTCTGCACCCTGTGAGCTGGGAAGTGCAATTTGCATTCAGAGCCGTATCTCTTGGCAAAGGCCTTCTTTGGTGGTTTTTCCTCTGGGACCAAGTACTCTCCCCATGACATGCCTTCTTACAAAAAGATCAGACAATGTAATCCTTGCGACTTGGATGTTAGCACAAATCATATAATACATAACACTGAATTTAATATACATATTACATATTTATCATGTAATATATATGCTGTGGCACTCTGCTACCCAGTGACCTTGTCTTTCAAAATAAATTTTTCCATGGCATATGGAAAATTCATACTAACGAGAATTGATCTTTTTGGATTTGGTTTAAGAGAAAACCATCATTTTCACCAACTAAGACACTTAAACTATATTTTTAGAATAGGACGGTTATATAAATGTATCCACAAGCGCATCTGATCTGATGCAAAATAACGATGCAAATGCCTCTGATGCACCAGGAAAAACAGCCAGGGCAGTGGCGCTGTCTCCAGGTTGGGTTACATCCCTCGTGGCACATAACCCCATGCTCGATTTCAGGTCCTGGGGACAGGGGAGCAATGTTGGGAAGCTGGGCCTGAGGAGATGGTTTTTAAAGATTTACTCACTGTTTATTTCTAAGCCACAGCTCTCAGGTCATTTAACTGTTGATCTGTTTTCCAGAAGGGCTCACAATTGCAGTGGGCTCCCAGAGCTGGAACTTGAGATGAATTGTAGGCTTAAATTACAAGTGAAATAGAATGTGTTGGCCATTTACCCTGGTCAAAAAGAACACCAGTGAGATCAGTCTTGCTGGTAGGAGCAGGGCGACTGGCCTGGCAGGGGCTCCGTGGAGACTGCAGCCCAGGCTGCTGCCAGCTTGCCACCGGGCCTGTTCAGCTCTGCTGCCACCTCGTCCCCCTCTCACCTCTCTGTGATTGAAGATAGCTCACTCTTGCCTGAGTGGGGACAAAAGTGTCCCCTAAGGTTTGTTCCCCCTCAAACTTCCATTGAAAAATAAAAGCAATTTTTTTATGTGAATAAGCATATTTTTCTCAGAAATATCAAATGCAGCATTTAGATTTTATGATAGTAATAAATCTGGAGGACAGCTGATTTAGTGCCTTTCTCTAGGGACTGTACTGTGGCTTTCCCTACATCCTTCAGTGATTTTTCAAGTGGTACCAGTAAAGGGGATGGAGCACTGACAGTTGTGGGCGGCACAGCAGATGCTTTTCACCTTGAATGGCTCTTTCAGACAAGCAGGGAAGTGAAGTGTTGGGCCCAGATCTAGAGCCACCTCCATAGCTATTCCCTGAGGTGGGTTTTGCCAGTTAATACCCAGAACATTTTGTTTTTATTCATTTAATTAATTCTTGTCTGTGAGAGCCCTGGGATAAGCTGTTCAAGTATTCTGATTTTCCCTAGAAAGAAAAAGGCAGATTTTGATTACATAAATTCATTAACTTAGATCTGGGGGCTTCTACCTTCCTCACTCAGGGTCTCAACCAGTTACACAGTTTAACACAGGTTTCTCTCAGTGGCACTTGGAAGCAGTTGCTGGTGGCGTTTAGCAGCTATTCCAGGACAGTTACCTATTCCCAGACCCTTCCTTCCTCCACTCCCTCCTCTCTGCTGCCTTTGCTAGTCCTGGCTTCTCTGTCTCTCTCTCCCCCGTTCTCTAATTACTGATACTTACAAACCCTTCAGAAACTCAGGGGAAAGAGTTATTGTTTCTCAGAGCATAAATTTAGACTTAAACATTGTCTGGCTTGGCGCCTGTGGCTCAAGCGGCTAAGGCACCAGCCATATACACCTGAGCTGGCGGGTTCGAATCCAGCCGGGGCCCGCCGAACAATGACGGCTGCAACCAAAAAATAGCCAGGCGTTGTGGCGGGTGCCTGTGGTCCCAGCTACTTGGAAAGTGGAGGCAGGAGACTAGCTTGAGCCCAGGAGTTGGAGGTTGCTGTGAGCTGTGATGCCACTGTACTCTACCCAGAGATACAGCTTGAGGCTCTGTCTCAAAAAAATAAATAAATAAATAAATAAATAAACATTGCAATAGCCCAGAAAGAGAAAAAACCTTTATGCTTAGCCATCTTACCTATTTCAGTTTTGTGAGGAACATAATAGGGCATGTTGTTCCAAGGGGTGAGGCAGGTTCTCTGCTAAGGAGAGAACTTCCTTTCAAAATTACTAGAGTGAGAAACTCAGAGGGAATCTGATCCAGGGTTTCCTACACTCACCTTTTTTATTAAATACTTTAACAAATACTTTATTTTACTTTAATAAAAGGTAAATAAAAATTACTTTTTATTAAATTCTTATTTTATATTTTGTATAAGATGTATTATTTTATATTTTATATATGTATTTTATATTTTACATAAAATTTTATTTTTATATTTTATATAAGATACCTATTTTGTATTGTATATAAAATATGTAATGTTTTATATTTTATATAAAATGTTATTTTATACTCATATTTTATATAATATGAAAGTGTCTTTTATTAAATCCTGAAAATTTCTAGGCTACACCCAGCCCTACTAAATCATGAGCTTCAAGATGGTGTCCTAGGAATCTGTACTTTGTTGTTTTTTTTTGTTTGTTTGTTTCTTTGGCAGTTTCTTAACAAAGGACCTAGATAAGTCTTAGGAAGGGGCAAGTTGGGGAGCCCTGCTGTAGTATAACCATCACCCCTGGCAATGAAGGAAACTAAGTCAGGTCAGTCGCCCTCCGTCCTCCATTGGGTCACTCAGTGAATGACCCAATGGGTGGTGACTGCTTGGGTCACTCAGTGAATGACCCAATGGGTGGTGACTGCTTGGGTCACTCAGTGAATGAGGAGGCTAAAGTATCATTTTAGCCACTTACTACTGACGGTGTGATATTGATCACCTACCCTGATTATCATTGTCCCATCTATAACATAATGTCTGAGATTAGTACCTGTTTCTTGGGCTGTCATGGGAACAAGATGAAATAATATAAATAGCGCTTTGTGAGCTGTAAAGAGATAGATGAACATAAGCATTTAGTAAATGGCTGAACCAGGACGCCAACTCCATTGCTTATGCTGCACCCAGTGGTTTTTCAGTGTGTTGCTGTAATATTTTGAGCTCCTTTTTCCAGCTAGAAACTACCTGTTGATTTTTAAGAACATGAAAGATTCCTTCTTCTCTGGTAGTTTCCTGGTTGATTTAGAAGCACAAGCTTTCATCTTTTACTTTGATGGACCCCATAAGCAGTTGATACCTCTTAAGCTGGAGCTGGGTGTGGTGACTCACTGTCATCAGAGCTGCTCAGCAGGCCGAGGCAGGCGTTCGCTGGAGCCCAGGAGTTCTAGACTGCCGTGAGCTGTCATCATTGCTCCACTGCACTCCAGCCTGGGCAACAGAGTGAGCCTCTGCCTTTTTTTTTAAAAGAAAAACCCTTAGCGATATCTTTTAAGTAAGGTCAAGACTTAACATCAGTTATCCCCGTGCAGGTGTGAAATCGAGGCAACTCTTGAGAGGCTAAAGAAACTAGAGCGAGATCTCAGCTTTAAAGAGCAGGAACTTAAGGAACGAGAAAGACGTTTGAAGATGTGGGAGCAAAAGCTGACGGAGCAGTCCAACACCCCGGTGAGTATGCCGCCCCGGCCGTCCTGCCAGACGCCGCTCTCGGACGCGCCACGCGCAGGGCAGCATGGCACCTCGTCCGCCCAACCGAGGCACCGCTCGTGTCCTGCCTGCGCCTGGATAAAGGGCTGCGTTTACTTTCCAATAGTGCTCACATCTCATTTCAGTTAACAAAATGCCAGAAATTTAATTGAAAAGCTTATCCTATTTTTGGCTCTTTCCTTAAGAACTATTATATTGTGACAGTGTGTTAGAATATTAGAATAACAAAAATAAAATCCGATGTATTTTCACACCATCTGTTAGATCCCGAACATGCTCCTCGGTGCTGGTTAACTCTTTATAGTCAGTCCATCGGTAACTAATAAATGTGACAGCAAGGCAATGACTAAGAAAGTCTGCAGTGTGTCAGAACTTAATCGTGTTTTCCTTCTAAAATACAGCTAACCTTGATGACCTACGCATATAAATGACAAGCATTAATATTCCTTACTCAATTTAATGTTGTGGTTATGGGTAGCGGAAGACTGGAAAAAGACTTCTCTCTCCAGTGTTTACCACCCCTGGGAAGTATTTTTTTTTCCCCAAGTCTTAGATTTAGAGGATATAAAAATTCTTTTTAAAAAATTTACTATTTATACATGATGTGAGCTCATATGCTGATATGATGTATTAAAGTCTAATCAAAGTTCAGCATTCTTCCCTATTTTAAATGACCGTTTTCAGGAATTAAGTATAACTGTACCATTGATTTTCTAGGGTTTCTAATGGACAGTATTTGGTCCCTTAAAATTATAAATAATGGTAGATTAAAAGTAAACTTACATATTTTAAGTTCATTTGTGATTGTTTAAATTCATTGTTGCTAGGGCAGTTATACAAAAAAAATTTAAATGTCCTTTATTTTGTGATTTTCAAGAAGCTTTCCCTATTTTATCTTATTTTATTTTATGAGACAGAGTCTCATTCTGTTGCCCAGACTAGAGTGCCATGGCTAGGTGCCAACCTAGCTCACAGCAACTTCAAACTGCTGGCTTCAACTCCTAGGTTCAAGCCATCCTCCTGCCTAAGCCTCTGGAGTAGACTATAGGCGCATGCCCCCGATTACTTTTTTACTTTTAGTTGGGGGTCTCGTTCTTACTCAGGCTGGTCTCCAACTCCTGAGCTCAAGCAATCCACCCACCTCGACTTCCCAGAGTGTTAGGATCACAGGCATGAGCCACCTCACCGGGCCAGCTTCCCTATTTTCTGATTAAAGTCTTAATCTCCATTAAGCAGCAATGCCTAATTGCAAAGCGTTTTCCAATGTCTTAAGAATAAAATAGTTGGTCTCCTTTTCCAACGTGTATGGAAAAGCAACATGGTATCCAAAAAAGGAAAACAGAATGAAGTCAAATGTTTATTATCAGATTTAAATTTTTCAAAAATGATTTTGGTGATCTAGGGAATTCCAAAATAAGAATGGAGTCACTATACACGAGACCATCATGGAATGTTAAAAAGGTACCATATTTTCTAAGTTCCCTGAATTTACCTTGGCTTTTGAGAAAGACAACCAGGGAAGTTTCCTGTCCTCCCTGATTCGGTGCCCCTAGCAGACTGTAAGCGTCACCCTAGGAGTTTGCAGAGGGCACCACTTCTCCCTGAGCTGATGGGGCGGGAGCCAGAATGTGACCTCATCCCCACAGCAGGGCTTCTGAAGTCTGGGAGACTTTTTGTTTCGTTTTTTAAATGCATTGAAATGTTAAGCGATAAAGCACTGCATGGCTGGAATGTTTCTAAATGTGGTATTGTAAGAAAAGACTTTAAACTACCCATTAGAGTAGGCTTTAGAACCTTTCTGTAGTTTATTGGCATCAGTTTTTCTAAGAAATTATGGGCTGCCCTACACACATTATTGCTATTACTAACATAGTTGTATAATAAATAATAAAACGCGCCGAGCGCCCAGTAGGTTGTACACTTACATTTTTAACTCCAGAAAACTTTCTTTGCTGTAGGAGCAGCTCTGAGGGCTGCCACCTAACAATGGACAGCATAAAGCCAGCGCTGAAGGAGATTTTCTCCCTTTTTTCCTTATGAGGGATGTTTTCTTTCTTTCCGGTAGAACTTGCTTTTAATGTCTCTTTTGCTCAGAGCTGATATTTCTGAAGGAAAGAAAATTTATGCTCAGATATTCTATAAGTAGGTGTTTTCTTTTATCCTCATATCCGTTTTTATTTAACCGAGATGGCTGAGAGAAAGATAAAATAAACCTTTTGAAAAGAAGGTAGCTAAAGGTTTAGGTTTTCTGCGTGCGGCCTCATCTTAATTATTAACATTCACGTGACCTCATGAAAAAAACGTATCCTTGAATTCATTTCCAGGTCACTTTTTTATTTCCTAAAACTGAAACAACAAAGACATTTGGGAAGATGACTTCTTCATGCATAAACACGGAAATGTTTATTTTTTAATTATAGCCGAAGCACGAGGTAAAAAAAAAAAAAAACGGATTCCTTTTAAGAATGCAGGCTTACTTGGGAGACATTGGTTGAGATTAACCTCATGTGGAGAAGCACCCTTGAAATAACCAAATAAATAAGCCACAAAGAGTTCCCAAGAGTAGGTCGGCTGTTCAAAATAATTACACAAGATGGAACATAAACGTAACTACCGTGAAACGGAATCTTAGAACAATGTTCTGTTACAGGAAGAAAACTTGAATATTAGACAATAGAGAAGGATGATGATATAAATGAATTCTTTCTTTTCTTCCCAGTTTTCACAGGTATTTTCGTACGTGGGTGTCATTTAAATGTGAGAGACAATCTAGAATGTGTTGACAAATGAATTATTTATTAATGATAACTTGACTAAGTAGCATTAACTCAGATCTGGCCGTGAGAAATGGAAGCAAGCGTATAGCCAGACTACTAATCTAAAAAGTTAGTAGTTACCAACCTCAATTCCCCTAGAATTGTGTTGACTGCCAAACTGTTTTTGTCCTTCCTCTAAGCTTTTCTTCTTTGGTACACGGTTTCTTAACTTTTTATATGAGATGTAATCTCTATTTAATTTCTCTCTCTTTTTTTTAATATAATGGTTAACTGAAAGTTTCTGCGTGCAAGTGAAACTGGAGAATAATTAAGAGAAATCCTAAAGTCTATTTGGTTTTAAGCAAAATGAGGGCTTAAAACCTGCAACTTCCTTTCCCTTTGAAATTTGGCTTGCTGTGGTGCTCTGTAAACTTTGGGTTGTGATTGATTCTGTCATTCATAAATTACGGCCAGTAATTATGCTAGAGCCAAATCTGCCGTTAAAGAAATTCTCACATAATCCCTTACATTCGTTTATTTCACTAATCATTTACCTCCTGTGTTAGTACCAGCTAATTTTGTGGTATCTATTTTCCTTAAATTGGTCCTAATTTCTCTTTTTACTTCTGTCCTCTCTTTCCTTTTGATAGCTTCTCTTGCCTCTTGCTGCAAGAATGTCTGAGGAGTCTTACTTTGAATCTAAAACAGAGGAGTCAAACAGTGCAGAGATGTCATGTCAGATCACAGCAACAAGTAATGGGGAGGGCCATGGCCTGAACCCGAGTCTGCAGGCCATGATGCTGATGGGCTTTGGGGATATCTTCTCCATGAACAAACCCGGAGCTGTGCTGCATTCTGGGATGCAGATAAACATGCAAGCCAAGCAGAATTCTTCCAAAACCACATCTAAGAGAAGGGGGAAGAAGGTCAACATGGCCCTGGGGTTCAGTGATTTTGACTTGTCAGAAGGTGACGATGATGATGATGACGGTGAGGAGGAGGATAATGACATGGAGAATAATAGTGAATGAAAGCAGAAAGCAAAGTCACAAAGTTGAAAATGTGTGTGAAAACAAAAGTAACCTGTTCTCTCAGTCTGTGCAAAACCCAGTAAGGAGGCAGAAAGCCAAGCCCTGCATTTTTAGGTCAGTCACATTTACATGACAGTCATTTCTATCATCAACTTTACTTCTGATTTATTTTGCTTACAGAAAAATGGGGGGGGAAATGAAGCCAAAAAAGCATATTTACAAATCAGCAAATGTGGTGCCTGATTATAGAAATTTGTGATTCTATATACAATATAGTATTTTTTAACTAATAACATTCTGGATGTTCTTTTTTAATGAATAATTTATAGTTTGACTTTTTTTTCCCTTTTTTTTTTTTTTTTGCAGTTTTTGGCCGGGGCTAGGTTTGAACCCAGCATATGGGGCCGGCGCCCTACTCTTTTGAGCCACAGGCGTCGCCCGACTTTTTTTTTTTTTCTTTATTCAACTGGTTAAGAAAATCAGATTTTGAACAGTACTCTTAATTCCTAATTCTTTGACCCTTGATCGTTCTGTGCGGTACATTTATTTTCCTTGTGGCAATACACTGTAATGTCAGAAATGATTACTACTGACTGCAAAATTCAACAACAAGAATACTGAGATGGAAGAAAGATAAAATGCTCTTCAGAAATACCTAAATGCTGAGAATTTTTAATAACTAAATAGCACAACTACTCAAAGTAAAACCTGAAGCCTATTCTCAGTTTGAAAGAGAAATATTCTAATTTGAAACCAACAGCAGATATTGCAGGCTTTCATACCAGTGCTGGCCCTGGAAAGGTCTTAACAGTAACACAGGTAAGACTTAACCTGTACATGATCCAGTGTTAAAGGGATGCTTCCAGGCATGTGAGTGCTAAGCACGGGCTGCCCTGCACCCCAGTAAAGGGGATGTGCGTGGTGTGTGTTGGTGTTCTGGAGGGGCAGGATAGTCCTGGATTCTAAATACATGTGCAGATACTCTAAAGAGGAAATTAAATATTATGAAAGGAATAGTAAAGATAAGTTAGCTTCACGTAGACAAAAGCACAGACTGAAAGGTGGTTTCTGTATCAAATCCAGCCTTCCAGACTTGCCTTGTTTTAAACCCTGCTCAGTGGTTGGTGATGCTGGTGTTTTTGAGACGTAGATACAGATACTGCTCTGAAAGCTG